TATCTATGCTCAAAGTGAAGATTTGTTTAACTCTTAGGGAAAAAAAATGTTAATGAGATTTAAGGATTGTATCTCCACTCTGTAAGCTATCAGAAGAAATGAAACTTCTTTTTAATGGAATTATAAAAACAAAGGAAAAGAAATCTCAAAAGACAGATGGAAATCCTACTACAGCAGGAGTTTACAGGCTTAACTACATTTATCACTCTTTACAGCATTCTAGGCCTTGTTAAAATAGCACTTTGAGGGCTTCAACATCTATATCCATGACAGTGCCACATTACTTTGACAATATTATCTCCTTGAATCATATTTTGCTTGATATTATTGTTTAGAGGGTTGGCAAAGAAAGTATTTCTATTGGTTTATCTTTCAAGGAACCTTATGTGGCTTTGGAATATGAATGGGAATATAAAGAGACCAGAAGTGGATTCAGAGAAGTATACAGACAAGGAAGGCAATATTGGTGCAACCATGTTAAATTTAATGTCCATTAAAAGGAATGACTGTGTGGGTTGGATTCATGTTTCTGTGAATGATCCCATTTTTATGACATTTTTGCATGTAAAAATAAATTATTTTTAATTCGTAATTTAAAAATATCAATATAAATGGGAGAAGTCTTATTGGAGAAACTTTAATGTAACTTTTTGCTTTACCTAATCTATGGCTTTTTTTTACTCTTCTCTCAGCCCCTACTCCCTATTTAACATATTTTTATTTGTTAATTACCCCCATTATATTATAAAATCTTTTGAAGTAAGGACTATTTTTCTTTTTGCATGTATTTCTATTTCCTTTGTAATGCACAATAGATAGAACAGATTCAGCATTTAACAAATGCTCGTTGACATGATTTTTCTTTTTTTATGGCCAATGATCAATGAATACATTCAAACAAATGTATTCTCTGCATCTTTAAATCAAGTTATGATTGTAACTGCATGGCTATCTTTGATGAAAGCCTGACAGTTCATTTCTCATACTTTCATCAAGGATGCTTTCAAATGTAGGATAGATTATTACCATAAAAATTTTGTAGCGCTGTGAAAGTTGGTATTTGAGTAATGAGTTATTGTTATTTTCCCAGTCACATTTCCATGATGATAATATTTGGTATTCTCCTTCCTTTCAGAAACCTTGGCTATTGATCTTTTAATCACTCCAATATTGTGTTGCATGGAGCAAATGTCTCCTCTATGTTCATTACTTGGTATATTCTAATTGTTCATCCTTGATCTTCCTTGATGTCACTTCTACTTCATCATACAGTGCACCAAAGATTGTGATATTTAGGTCTAAATATAATGGTTCTGCTGTTGTTGGTGGAGACGAGAATTAGTTATATTCTTTGTGACTCCATTTTAGAGTTTTCTTGGCAAAGATACTAGAGTGGCTTTCCATTTCCTTCTCCAGCTCATTTTAGAAATCAGGAAACTGAAGCAAATAATGTTAATTACTTGCCCAGGGTTACACAGCTAATAAACGAGGCCTGATTTTAACTCTGAAGATGAGTCTTCCTGATTCCAAGCCCAGTGATCTATTTGCTGTGCTACTTGGTTCCAAATTCATGCTAATAAATTGGAGAAAAGATACTTATTCATTTCCAATAAATGCTAAGTATCAGCTGAAAAAATCTATCACTTCTAGATCATGAGGTAGCCAGGGATATCCGATATGTTCACTGTCAGTATGTTCTTATGGAAATAATACTTGAATAGAATCAAGCGATCAGGACTGTAGTCTCTGCTCACTTACAACTTGGTTCTTTTGGCCCCAAAGCAATCAGGTTAAGTGACTTGCCCAGGGTCACACAGGAAATGTCAAGTGTCTGAGGCCAGATTTGGACTCAGTGTTCTCTCCTTTGCACCAACTAGCTGTCCCTGTATTTGTTATATGTGACCTTGGCCAAGTAAGTTACCTTCTCTGAGCCCATTTCCTCTTCTTTTTTTTTTTTTTGGTGAGGCAATTGGGGTTAAATGACTTGCCCAAGGTCACACAGCTAGTTAAGTGTCAAGTGTCTGAGGCAGATTTGAGCTCAGGTCCTCCCGACTCCAAGGCGGAGCTCTATCCTCTGTGCCACCTAGTTGCCCCCCCATTTCCTCTTCTACTAAAGATAGGAATGGCTGACTACTTTAAGGGTTATTATGATGAATCTAATAAAATAAGGTAGTGTTTGGGAATACTCCATAACTGCAAAAGATTATATTAATGTAAAGTGTTTCAGACAGCCACCATGACATACTTGGAACTCTTTGATAGAATAGACATCTGAGAATCCCTGGCCTTCTATCTTCCACTATCACCACTTTCTCCTCTGGAGCCTACTGAACAAGTAAACTAAGTGTCACCTTTTATCCCTCTTGTTTTCTCCTATAGAGATGAGAAATTTCAGAGCAGTTAGTTTTACCTGAATTATGATGGGGATAGATGAAGGAAATCCTTATGGAATGGGAGTTATCACTGTTAGATCTTAAAGGAAGTCGATGATTTGAACAGGCCACATAGAAGGTCCATTTTAGGCTCAGGAAGTTAATAGGGAATAGAAAGCAGTCCATAATCTGAATCATACAATACCTTAGGTGAAAATAAGGTTGGAAGGCTATGTGGAGGACCTTGAATGTCAATGTCCATTTAGGTCTTTCAGTGTGGGGACAAGGAAGTTGGAGGCAGCTAGGTGGGACAGTGGATAATCAGCTGTTCCTGAAATAAATATAAGTTAATTACCTGGTCTCAAATAATCACTACCTCTGTGACTCTGGGTAGGTCACTTAACCACTATTTGCATTAGTTTCCTCATCTATACATGGGGATACCTTGCTGCAAAGTTATTTTAAGGGTAAAATGAGAGATTTACAAAGCACTTAGCACAGTTTTTTGGCACATAGTAGGTCCTATATGTTAGGGTTTTGTTGTTGTTGTTTGTTTTGTTTTGTTTTGTTTGTTTTTTGTAATTATGCCATAACCTTAGTCTGAACAAAATTAGTAGACAGCATGGTCTAATGGAAAGTTTGGTGTAAGAAGATCTAGGTTTTGAGTCTCAGCTATACATGTTAATATTTGTGATACTGGACAAGTCCTCTAACCATTTTGGGTCTATTTCCACAATTGTAAAATGAAGAGCTTGGCCTAAATGGCTTCTTGGGTCCCTTCCAATTCTAAATCTATGATCCTATTATTAAAGGCTAAGAGTGCCCTGTAGCTATGGCAAGTACATTGAGCTGAAACCAAGACAAGAAGAGTCAATGATTAGCTAGACCTTCTGGGAATGGTGTGCTTCTGGTGGTGTGAGAGTGACTGACAGCTTTCATTGGCACCAGGACCTGGGCTTCTGAGCAGAGTAATGAGAAACTTAGTTAAGATGTAAGTATTTTTCAGGTTACTGGGACAGGAAGGGGAAAGGGCAAAAACAATTGTTGTGTGTCCAGAGGAGGTTTCTGATTCCCAAGATTCTCAAGAAAGCACAGGGAGGCAATTGTGTATATCGACTGACTTGGTTATAATTCCTAAATGTGGCTGAATCTGAACCTGTATCTAGCCCTTCCTTCTATTTATACTAATAGAAATAGTACCTCATTTCTACCCGATGCAATTGTATTTTTGTGCCTCACCTACGGGTCTTTCCTCACTTCTCAGAAGGCACAGATCCCAGGACTAAGCTTCAGGATATCTGGGCATCAGAAACTAGGTACAATATTTCCCTTAGATATCTCAGTCCATTGTGTGTGTTTGAGGCAGGAGGAGTGAACCTATCTTTGTGGCACCTTCAGTAATAGAATACCCAGTTACCCCTAAAGATCTCCAAATCCCTCACCTGTGACCTTTCATTCTCTATTGTGACCCCAGCCATACACACACACACACACACACACACACACACACACACACCCAGAGTTATGCCTCCATGAATCTCCTGCTGTTACTTCTGCTGTCGCTGTGAATCACAGTACAATACTGTCTCCTGCTTCCAAGAAGTTCCCATAACTCAAGCTTTGTAACCCTCAGCTTCTCTAGAAATAATCCCTAGCACAATGAAGTGGCTCAGTGATTGATTACAGCACTGGGCTTGGAGTCAGGAAGACATAAGTTCAAATCCAACCTCAGACAGTGTCTAGCTGTGTCACAGTAGGCAAATCACTCAACCTCTGCCTGCCTCAGTTTACACGGAAACATTTGTTAAGCTCCTACTCTGTGTGAACATCAAGGTTATTACCCTCATTTTCCAATTAAGGAAACTGAGACAGAGGCTAAAAGGTGACTTACAGAAAGTTACACGGCTGGTAAGTATTATCAGGCCAGATTTTTATTCAGGTCTTTCTGACTCCAGGCCCAGAGTTCACCCACCAGGCCACTGTTGATCCATGCCTCTAATCTTCTCTTCTTCTGTCCTTCCTGCCTTTGAATTTGAGATCCACATTCCAAAAGAAGACTTTACTGATCTTCCTTAAGAAGGGAAGTACAAACAAGCAAGACAGTTTTAGAAATAATATGTACAAGTTATTTACATATTTTTAAAAAGGCAGTAGGAAATGAACATTCATTTTCATATTTAAAATACTCTTTTATGTTCTGTTGTGTATGAAAACACTTTAACTTTAACTTCAGAATTCAGATTCTAAATTAGACCATTCCTCTGCCCCCAACACTTTGGATCTTAGCTCCTGCAGGCCTCAAAGAGAACTTGGAAATATTTTCCCATGAGTTATTGGTTTGCTTCCTGGGTCATGGAAATTTACATTTTCTGTTGAAAAGAATCCATGTGCACCAAGTCTAGGGCTTCAGGATATTGTATTTCCACTCCCTGAGGGATGAAGAAAACAAAATGGTTTACTTAAGATAAGCTAGGTGAGCATTGGGCCCAGTGACTGTACAAGTGACTTACCCAAGATCACACAGCTAGAAAGGTTGGATTTAAACATGAAGTATTGAAGACTGGGCAAGTCACCAAAACATGGGAGCCCTATTTATTGTCTTCACCCACTTCTTCCCAAGGTACTTACCTTAATTATAAAGGCTCTGGATCCCTATTATATCCTTATCGCTGAGCCTGAAGAATTTTGGGTCCTGGTATTCATAGTTGGGGAACATGATGGAGTCTGAATACTGAGAGTGCCCAAGGCCCAGGACATGGCCTATCTCATGAACAGCCACCAGGAAGAGATTGGTCCCTGAGGTAGAAAGAAAGGATGAGAAAAAAAAAAGTGGAAGAAGAGGGAAAGACATGGAAGAAATAGGTACAAAGGTATAAAAAATATATATAAAGGATTGGGTGTGAAGATGGGAATGAGAAAAAAACAGGAAATATACATATATATATAGGCAGTTGAGGAAACAGAAAGGGTAAAAAATTTCAAGGCAGGGAAAGAATTAACTTCTTCCTCCTCTGAAACTTCTACTCTTTCTGATTTAAATTTAATTATGAAATAACTTTTAATTATGAAATCTTAAATAATTAAGTTTCCATGTGGGTTACCCAGGACCCACTGAAATCTGCAATCTTTTCTTTGTTTTCCAGTGTCTTTTTTTTTAAGGCAGTTGGGGTTAAGTGACTTGCCCAGAGTCACACAGCTAGTTAAGTGTCAAGTGTTTAGTCTGAGACTGGATTCGTAGTCAGGTCCTCCTGACTCCAGGGCCGGTGTTCTATCCACTGCACCACCTAGCTGCCCTGTGCTTTCCAGTTTCTCTTGCACAACTACGTTGGGTCCCCAGTTACGTCTGAGGGCTGAGATAAAGCATTCCCCCAATCAATACAAAAAGATGTCAGATTTACCCTCCTCAGAATATGACCATTCTTCATCACTGTCAAAGTGGACAGCTCCTTGGTAGTAAGGATTTAGGCCAAAAGCATGAGCTAGGATGTTTCCTTCTCTGTTTCCTCTTCCATCAAAGGGGTAGGCATCTCCATGATCTGCATGGGACAGGGAAGAGAATAAGCATGTATTTTCTCATTCATTCATGTTCAACTCTGTGATCCCATTTAGAATTTTCTTGGCACAGATGCTGAAGTGGTTTGCCATTTCCTTTTCCAGCTCATTTTATAGTTGAGGAAACTGAGGCAAACAGGATTAAGTGATTTCCCAGGGTCACACAGTTGGGCTAAGTGACTTGCCCAGGGTCACACAGCTACCAAGTGTCTGAGTCTGGATTTGAAGTCAGGAGGATAAGTCTTCCTGACTCCAAGCCCTGAACTCGATCCACTGTGCCACCTAGCTTCCACATATGTATTAGGTGTCTACTGTGTGCCAGGCACTATACTAGCAATTTAAATTATTATGTCAATGGATAGGAATTGGGAGATCACACTGGGGAATATATGAAATAGAGAGACATCTACTTGGAAGCCTGGTGAGAAGATTCACCTACCCCATGTTTTGGAATGGACATAAGGATAAAAGTTCCAAGGCAATAGGTTAGAAAGGGAGATGAAAAAAGAGATGAAAAAGCACTCCTCATCTGTGCAGAGGGGAAAAGAGGGTTAGTTTAAATCCTTAAAATTAGAATGGATCCAGCATCTTGCAACCCAGTGAGCCAACAGTATATTAGCACCCAAAAAGCTCATAATCTCCAAGGGTTTCTGTCAGGAACAAATGAGATACTTTTAAGGTGCTTTGCAAGCATATTCAATCCTATGAACATGTCAGGCAGGACAAATGGAAGCACAGCTGAAGGAGGACAAGAATGGTTTGCCACTGTAATTTGCTTGATTACTTTGAGGTCTGGGGTCATTTGAGTCAGCCAATTAGATTGGAGAGGTCTTCGCTGACTTAATTTTCTATGTGCTTATTTTATTGCCTCCTTACCTCCAACCAGGAAAGCAAACTCAATGTCAGAATCTTGTTTATACACTCTTTGGAATTTCAAGGGTGTCACACTGCTCCAGACTTCTAATGCCTTCTGCAAGATCTTTTCAGCTACCTTACGCTTCATGCCCTTTGGATAGCTGAAGATACTAAGAGACAAAATGGAGGGGAAGGAAAGAAGGGAGTTGAAGTGATTAGCAATCTGGAAGGAATATTGGGTACAAATCCCATTTCTGTTGTAGTTCACTTCATCTAAACTCATCATTTTATCAATAGATCAGACTGGCAACCAGAAATTACATGACTTGTCTAAGTATATCTATGTCATCTTGTCCCAGTTAAGAAAATGCCAACTGATTCTAGAGGAACCATATCATTAAAGGTATAGAGGTTATAAACTAAGGGTAGAGATGCTTGAAAGGTGACCCTGGAGGCTTATGGAAATTACCTCTTGTGAATGAAAGGTTATATTTTGATGTTGTCCTGACAGTACTATGTTCCCTCCACCCCCCTCTATCTTTTCCCCTTGACTCCCACAGACTCTCCTGGAGATGTTCTGTTCTATGACCTAAGAATAGCTTACCTGTAGGTTATGAGGTTATTTTTAACTTTGGGCTTCCCAGGAAAAATTGCATAGTCAACAGTATCTCGGACCCCACATCGAGGCTTCTTTATGATGTCCTTTGTGGGCTCATCCAACCAGCCAGTTTCTCCAGTCTAAAGAAGTGCTGCAAGAAGCGCAACTGATCCTCCAGAGTATAATCCTGGGATTCTTCTTTGGTGAAGAAGAATCGATGGAAGTAATCCTAAGATAAGAGAAAAGGAATTGAACCTGAGCCAGAGGCATGAGAGAACATTCAGGGAGTTATTATGTGGAATTGAACATCCCTGGGACAGACAAAGGGTGATCATGAATCTGATCTGATGCAATTTAATTAATAGTCACAAAATATTTACGAATGGAGTCTAAACCCCTCATTTTTACAGGTGAGGTAACTGGGCTTAGATAATATAAGTGACTTAACTCAAGTTGAATAGGAAATTAGCAACCCATGTCCTCTGGCTTTAAATCTAGCCCTCTTTCCATTCCACCACGGACAAATAAATGCTAATTTCTCATTCTTAATTAAATTTCAGTTCAAGTCATCAAGAATATAAAGTGCTCTTAAGTGTCTGTGTCCAGCACCATTAGTGATCTAAGGATAAATAATATAGTATTTGACTTCAAGGCCCTCACTGGGGTGGGTGGGTGCTAAGAAATAGACACATAAAGAAGATTCCAGCCCCACAGAAATAGGCAGTGCAAATTTGAATAATAAAACCATTTCATAGATAATTAGAATTAGGAACTAGCAGTGGTTAGATATATGTAGATAATTGCCCCAGCCTAGAGAATCTGAAGGTCTAGTGTAGGAGATAAGACATATAGACCCAGGTTCTGCCTTGTAGGTTGATTATATGCTAGGCATATAAGATATGTAGTTCTTGGAAGATATGTATAGTTGTACACTTTGACCTCAAGAATAGCCCCAAATGGGGTCATAGAAATGACTGAAAAACAACTAAACAACAACAAAAATTATATGACTCAGAGTTGGGGTGGGAAAGAATTCTCTGAGGTATTGGAAACTTAAAATCTGTTTTCTTAAGGACACAGCTGTCTATCTTAAGCGTGAGTGCACAGAACCGAGAAGACTTGGCCATGCTTCCTAAGATCACTACAGCAAGAAAGAAGAGCATATGATACTTACCTTAAAGTAGTCCAAGTCATCAAGGATAGTTCTGGGGATAACTGGAAAGGACAAACAGCAGGTCAGGAAAAACGCAAATATAAGAAGAGTGGACAGCATGATTAAAGTTCCAGCTCTGCTGCAGGCTATGACCCCTTGCTGGCCCTTGGAGAAATTATAAGAAGATTCAGGTCCTGGTGACTCATATCAAGTAGGGCCTCTCTTCCTGGATCAGTAGATGATGTTAACTTCTTGGGGGGAGGGATAAATAGGCATGCCAAAGTGATGAGATTAGCTACTAGATATTAATCTCTCCTCTAATTTCCATTCATTGCTCCCTCTACCCCACCCCACCACTACCCGAGGCCTAGGGCTATTGCTAAGAAGTAGAGGTACTCTGAACCTCTGAGGACTCCAAACATTTTTTGAACTTAAATCTCTATCAGTATTTCCCCTCTCCCAGCTCCATCTCATGCTTGTTAGAAGAGGAATGTGTCAGTCTTCCCAAGGGTACATGAGCTGTTCTTTCTATGAAATCCAAAATTAGGAATAGTTAATTCCTTGGAGGACTAACCATTTTACTATCTATCCTTCATGCCCCCCAAAGGAAGAAAAGTCAGGACCTTTTAGAGGGGAGGAATTGGGGAAGTGTTGAGCTGTAATCAGTGAAGGCAAGATAAGGTTGTGCTGGACACAAACCCCTAGACTGACTTATGGGGGTGGGGAGGGATGATGCATCATTTCCCACCCTTAGATTAGTTTATCACACATACTTGGGGGTCATGCCCTGATCTCCTAGTTGGCCCTCAGCCCCACTATCAAGATCACTGGGTTAGTGTATTCTGGGTTATGCTAAGAAGGTTGATGGAAATGCCCTTAAGTCTTTGCACAGCTATTTCCATATTGAGCTACTTACCTCCCTTAGAGTCACAGGAACAAGAAAAGCAAGGAACAGAATGAGAGTCAGAAAGAGAGGAAGAGATAAAAAAGAGAAAGAGAGGGGAGGAAGAGACAAAGGCAGTAACACAGGGCAGCCTGAGAGAGAGGGAGATACAGAGGCAGAGAGAGAAAGACAGAGACAGAAAAAGAAAGGGAGGGAAACAAATGCAGACAGAGACACAGCACAGGCAGGCAAAGAAACACAACAAGAAAAATAGAGACAGAGACAGAAAGACAGAGATAGTAGAAATATGCACATGGGTGAAGAGACAGAGAGACAAATTATGATAGCTCAACATCGTTTGATCTTAAGACTTGCAAAACACTGTGTATGTGTGTAAATAGACATATATATACATATATACATATATATGCATATACATATATATGCATAGACATATATACCACATATACACATATATATACATATATGTATATATGTGTGTGTATATATATATACATACATACATATATGTATATACATACAGACATATATACATACACATATACACATATATATACATATATGTATATATATGTGTGTGTATATATATACATACATACATACATACATACATACATACATACATATATGTATATACATACATAC